TTCGACGACGACACACACGGATTAAGGAATTCAAAAGACGCGTTACGCGCGGCGGGTTTGTAAACAATGTCGTTGAAAATAAAAACGCGTTGCGTCTCGCAGAAGCTCTCTCAAAGGAGATTCTTTGATTCCCGTGTCTCTTGGCGTTTCTCGCGGAGAAACGCGAGTTTCGTCCTATTTTCATCGGGGTTAAACGCGAGGATGATCCAGTAAAGAGAGATTTCTTCTAAAACGCGACATTTATTACCTTAATTGAAGGCGAGATACTACAGAAGCTGCGTACCACTCAGAAATCATAATTTATTCAGGCAAATGGATTAGCGTGGGTGGAGAAGGTGCGCCGTGTATGAAACCGTGTTCTCCTCAAACGAGATCCAGTTTCATCCCCGAAATTTCGAAGCTTACGAGAAAATCGCGTATCTGTGTATCGATTTCGATAAAATTTCGCGGCTGGAAGGAATAATGGCAAAGTGGTGATAAATTAGAGTACGCCGTAGTATCGAGTTTCAGCCACTGTGGCTCAGATTATGGTTCGAAGATGACTTAAACTTGGAATTTAGTACCGGTTTGTAGCCAATGTGAAGTATTGTAGCTAATGTGAAGGGATTTTGTTGAAAAAGGGAGTTCATTTTTACGTCAATGTTAGTTTTTGTAGAATCGAAGTAATGAAATTTGAAGTTTGTGAGAGTATCCATGAGAGATTAGTTGATGAGATGATTCATAGAGGAGCAGAGATGACGAGTTTCCGTAGGACTTCAGTGCTCTTCAAATTAGACTCTTATTACAAGATAATGTTCAGCAAGGAGAATGTCACGCAACGACGTAGTATAAAAACATATTGAACCGTAAAAATAGAAGATGTCGTGAAAACTGGCTGATGGTACCAATTCCCTTTCACGATGTACAGGGTGCGTAAGGACAGTGTTACACAGGCTGGAAGACAAAATTCCAAGTACTGGATTATGGGAGTTATTGGTTGTTAAATAATTAATAATCCTTATTTTAAACTATAAACTTTTATTAGACACAAGGAAGGTTCGCTTTTCTACTTGATGGTAAGAGCACTGTCTACGGATTGAGAATGCTCCTACGCAACGCCCTAATATTGCCTAGGACCCCGCTCGGGACCGAAGGGCCTTTTGTCACGTATCATAAACATTTAGATCTTTACTAAACAGAGGTGGTAAGGCTAAACGGATTTCTCCGAACGTATACAAAAGTAATATATACTTCCTAGTAAGGCGTTAGATTAATTTTTGTTATATCTAACTGACTGATAAATCTAACACCAAGTAGATGGTTTAACTATAGAAAACTAACAATCGTGCATCATTTTTAATATTTCTGTCCTTTTTGAATTTTCACCTCAAAAATATCTGTGTTATCGTACAAAGAATTTGACAGCCACTAAATTATATTCCAAGTAGACCACTTTTAACATTTTTACACTTTTCGAATTTTACCTCGAAAATATCTTTATCACCACACAAAGAAAGAATGTCACCCTCTGAATTACATAGGGACACTGAACACTTCAATTTATCAAATCTGATTGTCCCGCTTCAAGAGGAGCACGTGTCAATGCTCGAGCAGATTTATCGAGAAAACGAAGCTAATCTCTTTATAGAAATGGACCGGAGGAGCAAAGTGGTGGTAAACACAAGGGTAATTCGAAAGGAGCAACGATAAAGTGGCGGAAATCTCTATTTGCCCGACATATTCCCCGTCGAAAAGGATTACCTAACACAGCTCGATAAAATTGAGGGAAATGTTTCACGGGACACCTTGTACCTATCGTACGACCGAAACACACATATTTCTCTCTAAAATAATACGAATTCCCCGGGTACAAAAGGAAAATTATGCCGGCAGCTAGGTTCACGAGCTGGTATTGTGTTCGACCCCTCGATTCTCTCGCGTAGCCGCGGGAGATTTTTGTAGATCGTTCGAGGGGTTGAATTGGGGAAATTCGTGGCTAATTCGAGGAGTGGCGGAATTGCGAAGGGGGAGAAACATCTGTCGATATAGGCTCTCGTTCCCTAGCCTGCTGATCGTAAACATTTAAAAGCCAGGACACCGCAACAATAGGTATATTTACGCGAACGATATGTGCCGCACCCTTATACCGAGATATTACACACGGCCTGCTCTCTCTCTCTCTCGTGGTGTTCCGGTTGATAAATTGCATTTCGACGATGACTTCCGTGTCGATGCAACCCCACCTCACGGTTATTGTTGCTCGGAAGAAATTTATGGCATGTTGGATGGTTATCGCGTTTAACCCTTCAACGAAGGGCGTGTGCGATAAAATTGTCCCCGTGTTGTGACGTCGATATCCGTGGATCATTAAGCGGGGAAAATTGTCGGTGTACATTTGTGGATAAACGTGGGACAGTGTTAGGTGTTTAATACCGTAGGGGGTTGTTAACAGTGAGGGGAATTCTTTCCCTGCTCGATATATATCAGCTGATGTTTTATTGCGAATTTAGCTCTGATCATTTTCGACAATTTCAGATCTTTGTATTTTGTAATTTCTTGAAGTACAGTGCTCTCTGGAAAAATTTCGACGTTCATTTGGCATTTACACATTTACCCATAAATTTGCAATTTTCTTTATCATAGGGAATAAGAGAGGGTGAGAAAGAGCGAATACGAATTCGTTCGCCTGAAATTCATCACCGAGTAATTTCAATTCTCGACCATTTTTCTTCCCGAAATTTTTCACTCTCGCGAGAGTTCTCTCAGGAATAGGAAAATGTTTTCAAAGCAACCATCCGACAGCGGTATAATTTTGTATCCATTCTATAGCAAGTCGCAACAAATCAACTCTCAGATAGTCGAGCGATGCTCTCAGAAAGTCACTCTCACTCTCAGTGTCCTCTCGCGATAGTTTCACTCTCGAAAGGACATATACCTTCGTGTTTGCCTCGATATACATACAACGACCGTGCCTCGAGTTTCTTATGTTCGGCTCGCAAAAACTGTCCCGAGTCTCACGCGATGTTATGATACGCGAGGTCGAGGCTAGGCCCATATCACACGCGAGGTGGTGAATAAACCCTCGAGGCTTCTTCCTGGAACTGCTGCGCGCAAACAGCGAACGGAAATCGAGCAGGACGACTCGTCCTCAGTCGGTGTTTACGAGCCTGCCGAACGAGTGCCTCGACGAACGTCGCTTATACCTCGCGATCGTAGTCTCGTAGAATATTCACTGCTCCCTCGAACAACGCGGATTTCCAATCAATTTGCATAATTAGCGTTACCCTGACAATTTTCCCTATCATGGCGAACTCGTGTGAACTAATTCCTCGCGAATTGCCGCTGCGTACAAGAAGCCGTCGCAGTGAGCTCAAGTACGCAACGAACAGCCGAACTTGGGAGAAAAATCGAACGACCAGTGTGTTCCTGCGAGCTGCGTAGCTGCAGTTTCACGGTACGTGTGTGTGTAATTGCGTAATATGTGTGTATGTACGTACACAATCGAGTGATCGAGTTAACTGAAAATAGAGGAGAGCCTATGCATTGCTGATTGGTGTAATTTCGTTCTAGTGATGAAGTTCCAGAGAGTTTTTTTCTATAGGCTTTTAAATATGGCATACTTCGTTCGTTAGGATTTTAAGCGTAATACAGTAAATTCTCCACAAGTGTCAGTCCGCAAAGAAGCTAAACCTGACACTTGTAGAGTCAGGGACTACGTTTTCGAGCCTCGCGCCCGCCTTTGTAGTTTGCCGAACATAGGCAAGGACAGCGAATAAAAGATAAGGATGAAACGTGAGTTGAGGCAACCAAGCGATTTAAATACCAACTTTTTTAATTTTACGTTTTTTTATCCCAAAATTTTTCTTAACATATTGATGAGATTTTTGTCTGGCGTGACAGTGAACGTGTTAATAAGTAAATGTTGTTCAAATTATATCGTGTTTGATCTCATTTTCATCAGAAAAATCTCAGCAACATGTTAAAAAAAATTTCAGATGAAGAAAAGTAAAATTAAAGAAATGATATTTTTCTATTATGAATTGTCGAGCCGTGAAATCTCGTAAAAGAAACCGAGTGACGCAGAGGAGGACCATCTATACTGACACTTGTAGAATCCAAACTGACTGACACTTGTAGAATCCAAACTGACTGACACTTGTAGAGAATTTACTGTATATGGAAATTGAAGGTATCGCGCGGTGTATATGCATTGGAAGAATATAAATGTGCTTGAGTTGTTCGTGAAGGCGATGGGTGGTTCCCAACTACGCAAGGACGAGGCGTTGCTCGAGGGAGCACTGTAATTTGTATATTTTATACTTGGTTGGGAATTTATGATAAGTATTGAAGGAAGAATTGCTTTTTACTATTGTTCGTGTTGCCAATTTGATTTTGAAGTATTGAAGAGTACTTAGAACTACGTAGATACATAAGGATAGTTAGAATATTGTTCGTGTTCCCAAATTTGATTTTGAAATTGTTTTTGTATATCAGTTTTTATTAGTATCGTTTCTATTACTCAAAAAATGAAGTTCAGCTTCTGTTTCGAAGTTTCTACATGAATATAAACGTCGATGATAAGTTCTGTTATAGCTGTTGGGAACAACACGAGCATATTTCAGCATTGAAAACGATTCAGCCCCTTGATCGCCATTTATGGCGATTCGTGGAAGGAATAAAAGTGTCACATGTCAATAATTCATGAAACCGTTATTATTATCGAGCTATATTTCACTCAGAAATAAATCTCTCTAATAATCTTTAAGAAATCGAATTAGAAATGGAAGAATTACTGTTTTCCTCTATCGAATGATACTGCGAGCCTTCTGATAAGTATAAAATAACAATTATTTATAGTCTCCAACTGACAGCACGAGAAAATGTTCAAACTTTCACGAGAAATCCCCAAATTCGCACTTTTTCTAGTGCGACATAAATGTCGCGATGCGCAAAGGGTTAAGAAAAGTTGCACGACCAATCAAGACAGACGTTAACGTGGTCACTTCCGATTTTTGTTACAGCTTTGGCAAGCGGACAGGTGGCAGCGCCAGGAGACCCAACGAATGCTTCGTTCTCGAGCCCTCCGAGATGATCGTCGTAAGTAGAAACGTCCTCTTTTTCTTTTCTTTCTTACAGTTTAATCGCGTCCCGTAGCTAGCTACATAGTTTTTTACGATCGTGCCGTAATTCACACGTTGCTGACGAGTTTGGCGAAAAATTCAGAGCGGCGCGAAAACTTGGTTTTCCGGCCGGAAGTTAGCTGGCGGGGTTTTTCCCGTGGAAAACTGGAGCTGTGGTGCACGGTGGCGTGGCTCTAACCGTAACTTCTGTTGTAATTTCTCGCACGTTCGACGATTAAGTTTAAAGGGGTAGCTCGAGTCACTTGACGCAATTAGGCTAAATAGCCGGAGGGGTGATTTCAACCCCTCGCAGCGATTTCTTTTGATTGTTTTATCGAGCAGAAGGTGTGACGTTTGATATTTCTTCGCGAAGTCTGTTGCTTCGTATTAATTTCTGAAAGATCGTTCGTTCAAATTTTATTTCACTTGGAGAAATTAATAACGAAGCGATGTTAGTTTAACTGAGGGATTATTTATTGGCGGAATATGAAATACGTCGTATTTGGTGTATCGCTGTAAGGTAAGAAATATGGAGAGGTTATGAAAGAGTATGGAAAAAGGTTATCCAATTTCATGCTTCGATACACCGGTGCATTTTATTTTATTTCGCTCGAAAATGGTACAAGTCCGTGTATTTTGGTTTCGAAAGGTAGAATTTCGTGAAAATATCAACGATAGGAATGTTCCTCGAAATAATGAACGCGAGTCGTAAAAAGTGGCTCGCCAGATGAACGTTGTATTACACTACATTAGTTATCCTGTATAAAAAATACTAGTACAGATAAAAACTTGTACGTATTCTGAGAAACAAAGTACCCTTGTAACCTGCAACCACATCTCTTAACCCTTTGAGCACTGTGAGATTTGAATTTCGCGCCGAAGTAGTACTTAATTTTCCTCTGCATATTTTAATATATCATTATTATTGTTTGCAATTTAATTTTTTAAAAAGGTGCAAATATGCGAGAGTTTCAAGTCAATACTGAAGGGTGCAAAAGTGCAAAAAGAAAATTCGGTACTGAGAGTTCCAAATATTAAAATAATTAATTATTGAAGGGTGAGAGTATGCAAACACAAAATTCAGAAAATTGCAAATATTAAAAAAAATTCAATACCGAAGCAGGCAAATTTGCAAAAAGAAACTCAGTGCTCAAAGGGTTAAGAGACCCACCCCCAAATTTCCACCACTCACTTCACCCGCGATCATCCCCAGCATCGTGTCAAATTTCATTCTCCCAAGTCAAATCCGCGAGCATAACTCTCTCCCTTATCTCCTCGACATAGCACGCTACTAGGCTCCACCGTGCTTTTTCCAGTTCTTCTCGGCCGTGTCTCCGCTGAAAACCGAGGAAATAACTATTACATCGAGGAGGTGGAGGAGAAGGCGGAGGCAAGGAATTGACGCAGCCGAACGACGCAAATTTCTCTTTTTCCGACCGGTTTGTCCCACATTCGCGAAAATGTATATACACCGAGGAAACGCGAAAGAGAGCGTCCCTCCTGCCTGGTGGTTGTGCTACGTTGCTCGCGAACTATTGCGGACGTGGCGGCGATATCGCATAATGAAAGACAATGCTGTCCAGACTCGAGACGCAACGTGCCAGACAGTTAATCAATAGTTCCTCCTCTCTGCCGTGTGTTATGCCCGCGTCGAGTTTTCGAGTCCGCATCGCTGCGCTCCTCTCTATCCGCCCCGGCGATCGCGATTACGCGGACGATTATTCGGTGAGGGTGGTGCAGGAGGATTAAAAACGCGGATCTTTCTGACTGGAAAACAGGGGGATCGCTGATTAACTCGGTGTCCGATAAGTGGTTCCGCGGGGAAATTGCTCGAGAAAAATGAAATATTCCACGGTGGAAGATTTTTCTTTTTTTTTTTCCCCCCGAAAATTTGCAGTTCGGTGGAATTTTCATTGGAGGTGGAAGAGGATTTTTTGGGGTGAAAATTAGAGATGGTTGGGTTGTAGGGGATTTTTTTGAAAGGATACTTTTGTTGATATTGTTGTACGGTATTGTGGTATTTGAAACAGGACTGTGAACGTTTTTCGATATTGTATTTCGTATGGCCGTGTGGAGAAATGGTCGAGTGACAATTCGTTCGGCGGCATTCGGTGAATTTGTTTCGAACGAAAGTTGTAATAATACAGTATGTAACAAAAATTCCTGGATTCTTACGTTAATGTCCTATTGTGGCGGAATGGAAGATGGTAAAAAGGACTTATATTGCAAAAATCAAGTTCTCCTTTTTTTTGTTTTAACTTAAAAATAGTATCAAATCATTCTACAAGTTCCTATTTTTTAGAATTAGGATTCAAAATAATTTTCTTTTAAATTTGAACACACTTCAGAGTTCCCAACTTGTGAAGGTACTGCGCTTTCCTTTTTGCTCTCTTCCATTGCACCACAATAAATTATTAAGCTCGAAGTTGAGGAACTTTTGTTAGATATATCCTTCCTCGAACACGTTTCACTCTTTTCCTTCTTCCTTTCTTTTTTCCATTTTAATTAAAGAAACAAATTTCTCGAGATAGCTGCACGAAAGTCGTTTGTTAGGAAACTTTAAATGGATTTGCAGCAACGTGGAGTTATAAACAACTGTCTCGATTACTTGATTAAAGTTCTGGTAATAAGACGAGAAAGGATCGATCTCTCGGATAATTTCCTCGGATTTGCTCGCGTTAATCCTACCCGGCGATGCTCGAAAATCGCAAGAGGTGAGTTCCAATTATATGGCTACCGGTAAACTTCCCTGGCGCCGAGAGCCTGCTGCTCGACACTTCTGTTTCGCGATTTTCCCCTCTCGAGCAAGCAAGTGGAAACAGCGTGGCTCGTGCTGCCATCTACGTTGCGGTCCTCTGTTTTACCGACCATCGAAGATCTCTCGATCCATGGATCACAGAGTTTGCGCGACTAATCGAATGATAAACGACGGAGATTTTTTTTCTTAAGAATATTCGGAATATTTTAAGCAGCAAGACGTATTCAGATTCTATTTTTCAATAGCAAACTGTACGTTTCTTTTTATTATGCAAAATTGCGTTTTACAAAAAAAATTATGGTACAGCCACGAGACATAAAATTGTTCGTGAAATAATTATTTACGATCTTAAAAAATTCCGTACACGTGCTTTACTGTTCGTGTTATCAGCAGCCTCGTATCATTGCGTAAGATTGGAAAAGTAGAGAAAAGAGCGCCGTAAACCGTAACCTTCTTTATACCCGTTCCCCTAAACGAATCTCACTTTTCCTGGAATATAATTCCCAAGTACTCCGTGTACATTCCACTTTTCCCTCTTATCGTACTTTAATCCCGCCTTATCTGAAATTCATCTTAGCTTTCTCCCACCGAGGGCAGAGCCGAAGCGATAACTCTTCAACAGAAACTTTCGAACTCGCTTAAAAAAGAAGCAGAGAGATAGAAAGAAAACATTTCGTAATTCTTTCAATTCGTCGTAAATCCAAATAATCGGACGAGCTGTGAATTTTAAGTTACCATCTCGTTTGGAGAATTTGGAAAAGGAAAAAAATTGCAAAACGCGTAGAATTGAGATCGAACGACGTCGTTGAAAACGCTGTTGGAGGCTATGAATCATTTCGATGCAGTCGAAAACTCGCGGAAACTCGTTATCGAGTGACAAGCAACCGACGATAAGACGTCTCGAATTGGATCGATGAAAAGTATTTTCGAACGTGAGAATTTCCACTGTATTCGTGGAAACGAATTGGTCGGGAATATTTTTCACGTGAAACCTAGGCCAACGTAGTATCGGATATCGAATTTACTTAAAAAAAAAAAAAAGTAAAAGACGCAGAGGTATAACGCGCTCGTACTGCAGAATGCACTTTGGATTACGCAATGCGTTGTCACTGTACCGTGGACACACGTCTCTCTGTGTATGGTATACCAACTTCCTGTTCTCGTCTGTTTCAACCGTTTTTTCTGGCATTATCTCGACTCCCTGGTTGACAACGTTCCATTATGCTGCGTATCGTGGCTGTAATTATTCTTTGGTCGAAATTAATTACGCTAATATACGCCGGATCGTGGCAGTTCTGTTCGGTGTTTTATGAAACTGCGGGAAAATAGTAACTTTTCTTTTTTTTTGCAAAAATTCGCGGTAATCGCGTGCGAAGAAAATTAGACGAGTAGAAAATAAGAGAAGAAATTGGTGTTTTGATGTACAGTAAATTCTCTACAAGTGTCAGTATAGATGGTCCTACGCCTAGGTCTGCGTCATTGCTGCGCCTATGTTATCTCGCTCACTGTTAGTCAAGCGTGTAACGATACACCACTCGGTTTCTTTTACGAGATTTCCCGGCTCGACAATTCATAATAGAAAAATATAATTTCTTTAATTTTACTTTTTTTCATCTGAAATTTTTTTTAACATGTTGGTGAGATTTTTCTGATGAAAATGACATCAAACACGACATAATTTGAACAACATTTACTTATTCACTGTCACGCCAGACAGTGGTCTACGTTCGGCAAACTACAAAGGCGGGCGCGAGGCTCGAAAACGTAGTCCCTGACTCTACAAGTGTCAGGTTTAGCTTCCTTGCGGACTGACACTTGTGGAGAATTTACTGTATTTGGTTCGTAGCGATTTTTGGTGTACAGTGTTAGAATAGATAAATCGTTGGAGTAAGTAAAAGTCGATGAAAATTTATTAAATTCGCGTATATTCTGAAAGATATATTTTCACGCGACTTTTGGACGTCCATTCGTTGCAACTATTAGTCTCTTCTTGAAATTGTGATATTTTGAAGGAAGGAAATAAATTAATACTTTTCTTTTACCAAAAAGGGAAGAAATACCACTGAAACGACAAACAAAGCATCTGACATTCACTCAGAAGGTAGTCTATGCGAAAAAATTGATCACAAACGACGAAAATTTCCATGTTGAAAAAAACTAAAAGGAACTTTTTTACAAAATGGAATTTTCATATTTTCACAGCGAAAAGTTGCATTTCT